CAGTGAGTATTTTATTGCATACGCAAAGTTGTGTGTGTAGCGGGCTACGTTGTTTAGACTTATTGTATATAAAATAAAATTGTGGCACAAGGCTAAAAATGGAGGGGAATTAACTGAAACTGGTCATCATATACTATCTTATACCTAGCTAATCAAATTCACAATCCATTTACTCAAAAGAACTTATCCATCATCATTCAATCCTCTATATACCACAATACCACATACTCTCAAAAAATACATAGAAAAATACCCCATGACATAAAAATTAACGATTATACGTAATGAGGCGGGCGGGGAATGAACCCCTCAAAAAACTAAAATATCAAAGCAAATACACAAAATCAAAGGGTAACTGCGGGCAACGTTGTTTTATGTGTGTGGATAATTTCTAGTAGTAACTTCCAAAGCGAACACACGACAGGCGAATGGTAGAAGGTGAGAGAAGTGTGTTCACTTGAGGAAGAAAAAATATTGTTATCGTTTAACAATTCAAAGGATACCACGCTTCTCACGCTGATTGGCTTAATCTATCCGATTACAAAATTCAAACGTTCTGAGTTCCTCAATATACAAACATTGAGTTACCTTCAGTGAACAGTACTTAAATCCATTGACATTTTTCAACAAATCTGAACCGGGGGTGTCTACAAATATCCCCACCTGAATCGATATAAGTATATAGATAGAAAAATGTATATTAAATTAATTCAATGGATAGGATTTAATAATATTAACTTGAATTTTGTTTTCTTTATATGCAAATAATTAGAAGATGAAATAATGTCTATAATTACAGTATTATATGCATTAGCAAAAGTTCATGTTAGGAAAGTTGAGTAGATTTTTCAATGCGAGCTGTTTGACTCAGTCAACAGAGATAGTGTCTATTTGAATGCATTGCCATCTTTCTACAAATCTGTAATGGGATCCACACACATATATATTTCATAATTAGCACGTTTTATACATTCTTTGCTTTAATAAGCTCCTATTAAGCTACGATGCTGAAACTATTTAATCCAGCATTGGATAGTGCCCAATCTTTTGAACATGGTTTTCCATGAAATATAAAATCCGCCTATGCTATGATTGCCATTAGCAACAAAAGAAATTAGGCGAAAACGTCTAACATTCTAAGGAAAACTTAATAGACTAATAAAACAATTTCGTTCTTATTATTGTTAGGGCTGAACATAAAAAGGAATATATTAGAAATGCATTGGAAAATGATTTTTACTATAGGAATTCATGGGAATTTTTTTTTTTTTATTATAGGAATGCATTGCAAAATGATTTTACTATAGGAATGTATTTGAAAATGACTTTTACTATAAGAATCCATTCGAAAATGGTTTTTACTATAGGAATGCATTGGGAAATGATTTTTACTATAGGAATGCATTGGAAAATGATTTTTTTTTTTACTACAGGGATGCATTGGAAAATGATTTTTACTATTGGAATGCATTGGAGAATTGTTTTTATTATAGGAATACATTGGAAAATGAGTTTTATTATGGGAATGCATTGGGAAATGAGTTTTATTATAGGAATGCATTGGGAAATGATTTTTACTATAGGAATGTATTGGAAAATGATTTTTACTATAGGTATGAATTGGAAAATGATTTTTATGATAATAATGCATTGGAAAATGATTTTTACTATAGGAATGGATGGGAAAATGATTTTTACTACAGGAATGCATTGGAAAATGATTTTTACTATAGAAATGCATTGGAAAATGATTTTTACTATAGGAATGCATTGGAAAATGATTTTTATTATAGAAATTCATTGGAAAATTATTTTTACTATAGGAATGCATTGGAAAATGATTTTTATTATAGGAATTCATTGGAAAATTATTTTTACTATAGGAATGCATTGGAAAATGATTTTTATTATGGGAATTCATTGGAAAATGATTTTTACTATAGGAATGCATTAGAAAATGATTTTTAATATAGGAATGCATTGGAAAATGATTTTTACTATAGGAAAGCATTGGAAAACGATTTTTATTATAGGAATGCATTGGAAAATGATTTTTACTACAGGAATGCATTGGAAAATGATTTTTACTATAGGAAAGCATTGGAAAACGATTTTTATTATAGGCATGCATTGGAAAATGATTTTTACTATAGGAAAGCATTGGAAAACGATTTTTATTATAGGAATGCATTGGAAAATGATTTTTACTACAGGAATGCATTGGAAAATGATTTTTATTATAGGAATGCATTGGAAAATGATTTTTCTTATAAGAATGCATTGGAAAAAGATTTTTATTATAGGAATGGATTGGAAAATTATTTTTACTATAGGAATGCATTTTTATAATAAGAAAAGGCTGCATCGGAAATAATTTTAATATATGAATGCATTACAAATGATGTATACTTTAGTAATACATTGTAAATTAATTTGTTATATGAGTGCTTTAGAAATAATTATACCTTCCTTCATTTCTTTTGCGTCTCCCCCCTCTTCTTTACGTCCTTCCTTTTCTTATCCCCTCCCGCCTCCACCTTTATAGCTTTCTATCCGTTGTAGTTTCTTCTTTCTCTTTATTTCTACTTTCTTTTTCAGTTTCTTCTTTCTTCTCTACTCCTCCCTTTTTTTCTTTTATTCCTTTCGTTTGCACTTCATTCACTTCCCTTTCTTTCTCACTCAGCTACACTTTCCTCTTTAACTTGTCTTCCTCTTCCTCGTCCGCCTCCTACTACTACTTTTCTTCTCCCTTGATTTTTTTTAATCGCTGCCACTCTCTCCCTTATCTATCTATCTATCTATCTATCTATCTATCTATCTATCGCAGTCTGTTCACATCTATCTATCTATCTCTCTATCTATCTATCTATCGCAGTCTGTTCATATCTATCTATCTATCTCTCTATCTATCGCAGTCTATTCATATCTATCTATCTATCTATCTATCGCAGTCTATTCATATCTATCTATCTATTTCTCTATCTATCGCAGTCTGTTCATATCTATCTATCTATCTCTCTATCTATCTATCGCAGTCTATTCATATCTATCTATCTATCTATCTATCTATCTATCTATCTATCGCAGTCTGTTCATATCTATCTATCGCAGTCTGTTCATATCTATCTATCTATCTATCTATCTATCTATCTATCTATCTATCTATCTATCTCAGTCTGTTCATATCTATCTCAGTCTGTTCATATCTATCTATCTCAGTTTTTTAATTATCTATTATTCACTGGTCGTTATCAATCTATCTATCTATTTTCAGACTTATCATATTTATCTATCTAATCTGTTTATATCTATTACAGTCAATTCATACCTACCTATATATCTATCATAATCAGTTCATACCTATCTAGCTAGCGATCTAGCTACCTCCACATCTTTATATCTTTCTATCCCAGTCAGTTCATATCTAGCTTGCTAGCTAGCTAGCTATCTACATATCTATCTATATATCTTTCCATCACAATCAGTTCTTATCTATCTATCTATCTATCCTTTTTTATTATTATTATTCTATCCCCCACCCCATTTCCCCACTCTCATCTTTGCCGGCGTGATTCTTCTCCTTCAGCTTTCTTCTTATCACGTGATGAGAAGCAGCTAACCTGTTTCGAGCCTCTCGTCGCACCGACTGTCTGTTTGACGCGTGTCGTCAAAAGAGGCCGGTGAATACCCTTGAGCTGTAAAAGGATAAATGCCCAATCGTCCTTCTTACCACGCTGAAGAGGTTTCGCCTTCAGCTGTCGACATTTTTGAGCTTCGTTCTCACAAAGAGGCAGTGCCATTCTCCCACGCAACACATTTTTTCTGTTTTTTTTTTTTTTGTTTTTTTTGTTTTTTTGTCTTTCACTATTTCCTACATCGTTAGCAGACAATGTTATAACCAGTAACGCATTTCTTAACAGATTTAGATAGATAGATAGATAGATAGATAGATAGATAGATAGATAGATAGATAGATAGATAGATAAAGCACTTTACAAAACCAGACGATACAAAACCAACAGGAATTCTTATATCCAATAGGAGAATGCACGTACAATCTCCAAACAACAATCCTCTTCACACTGGTCATACTACTACAACACACTCCCGTAGATTAACTTATCACATGGAAGTATTGCTGGAACACTTTTTTTAGGATAGCGAGCAACTGCCTTGCCGCATTATCTTGTATTTCCTCGGCGTCTTGGTCCTTTAAAGTGGAATTTGATTTCTGAAGAGGAAAAAAGTCGTATGGGAATGATCTGATAACTATGGTGATTTTTGGAACTGGGTAACGACGTCCTTGGCCCAAAACTGCTGCAAAAGCTATGGTCACTAATGGAACCTCTGCGATATGGTGAGACGGCCACACACTACACACGTTCCTTCCAAGCACTACTATAAACAGCGGAAGTGAGAAAGAACGTTATGACTAAGTGCGCATGCTCGACGAAATGAATATAATATACCTGCCAATATACATGTATTTTATTCTATTTTAATTTTACTATTGTTCACCCGATACAATGTCTAAGCGGTACTCAGGTTAAAAGGTTACTGAATGCGGATGTTGTAAGGGTGCCAAAAGGTTGCATATTATGAGGATAAAGGTCCTGATTGGTGGAACCAGGAGGGGGAGCAGCGAAACGCTAGCAAAGTTCCGTCTGTGTGAAAGGGGTTAAAAGTTGAAAATCAATTCATTACCCACAAAGCTACTCAAACGCTTTCGAACTTGGTCGAGGCTGGAAAAATGAGGCTTTGGTACATGTGGCAGCAATACTTTTTGGCCATATCTGTCGCTTGGGAGAGACAGGTCCTGACAGGAAAAGCCAGCTACAATATGGAACTGACAACATCTCTAGCTTGAGGTCTGAGGTGAATTTGACTCCCAGCAGACGTCCCAGGTAATGAATCTCATTGACTGTACAACCGTTGACTCAAGAAACTCAGAATTACAAACAGATTCTCGGAGCAATTATAATAACAATAAAAAGCATTCATTGAATAATACGAGGTGATCAAAAAGTATCGAGACTATTGCCATGGTAAAGTCTGCAGAGTGAAGCCGCTTGATACAAATTGAACTTTAACTCTGTCTCGCATACACACTAACTTATAACGTTCTTACTCGCTGTCTATCTTTACAGAAGAGCTTAGAAGGAAAGTGTGCAGAGTGTGGTCGTCTTTAAAGAAGAGGTTAGAAGGAAAGTATATACAGTGTGGTCGTCTTTACAGAAGAGGTTAGAAGGAAAGTCTGTAGAGTGCGGTCGTCTTTATAGAAGAGCTTAGAATGAAAGTGTGTAGAGTGTGGTCGTCTTTATAGAAGAGCTTAGAATGAAAGTGTGTAGAGTGTGGTCGTCTTTATAGAAGTGCTTAGAATGAAAGTGTGTAGAGTGTGGTCGTCTTTATAGAAGAGCTTAGAATGAAAGTGTGTAGAGTGTGGTCGTCTTTATAGAAGAGCTTAGAATGAAAGTGTGTAGAGTGTGGTCGTTTTTATAGAAGAGCTTAGAATGAAAGTGTGTAGAGTGCGGTCGTCTTTATAGAAGTGCTTAGAATGAAAGTGTGTAGAGTGTGGTTGTCTTTATAGAAGAGCTTAGAATGAAAGTGTGTAGAGTGTGGTCGTCTTTATAGAAGAGCTTAGAATGAAAGTGTGTAGAGTGTGGTCGTCTTTATAGAAGAGCTTAGAATGAAAGTGTGTAGAGTGCGGTCGTCTTTATAGAAGTGCTTAGAATGAAAGTGTGTAGAGTGTGGTTGTCTTTATAGAAGAGCTTAGAATGAAAGTGTGTAGAGTGTGGTCGTCTTTATAGAAGAGCTTAGAATGAAAGTGTGTAGAGTGTGGTCGTCTCACGCAACGTGTTCCATTAGTAACAATTAGTGCAGCGGTTTGGGAGCAACATCAACTTCCTCGGGTTTAATAACGGCCATATTCCTCAGGTCTCGATCCTTGCGAGTTTTTCTCATCAGAAATCAAATCCCAACTTGAAAAGAACAATTTTTTTAAAATCCAAAGAATGCAAAAATGCAGCTACAAGAAAGGTGTTCCAGGAATTCTTCCACCCTCGGGTAGTTCTGGTACGGCCTATTCGAGTTGCCAGACACACAGCGAGATGTTGAGATTGGCAGAGTTGATAGGAGGGAAGAGACGTTCGACGAACATGGCAGAAATTATGCCAAGTGTTACCTACCTACCTACCTACCTACCCAGAAACCCAGCAAGCGAAGCCATGAATAAAACGCCTAAACAAATTAGAAACTGTGTTCAAGTCCTCATTTCTGGCCATGTCATTTGTTTTTAAATAATAAATCTTTACCTCATTTCGTAAGAGGTAGAATAAGGTCAGTTTTAATACTTACAGATTTTTTTAGATTTCCCTAATAAATCATTTTTATCATTAGTTATCTACCATCGCCTGAAGAAGTACCATCTTAGTACCGAAACATGAATTTTTTGTGTAGCGAGGTAAAATGTTTTTATTGTAATTTATTATGATAAACATATAATAATAACAATAATGATAAATTATATCATAAAGAAACAATTTATACAAAGAATTAAGTAGCAATGTTAATGTGATTAATGGCATAATCACTCCGCTCACAAAACTTAATGAGACATTAACTTACTATCAATTCCTTGAATAATAAGATCCATATATTCGAGTTGTTGTCAGATGGGAGACACGTTTCAAGTACCTTTCTAAAATTTCAAATTGTCATCTACATGGTGCAATTTTTCTTATATAGACAGATACTAAGACGAAATATGTTTAAACAGAAAGATGTAACTCAAATATAAGGATCATGTATCTTTTGATAAATGACTGACGAGGCAGAAGATTTTTCCCACAGTCAGTGATTTACTATACTTTATCTATAGACATACGTATAAAAATGGTCGGGACTGTCGTAAGCCGAGAACTTATTGTGCTTGTGCAACGTATAATTCACGACAGGAAACACCAAAGATGAATCGCATTTACTGTCAATAAGGAACATTTATTGTATCAGAGTGTTATGGCAATTTAGCACACACGCACGGAATCTCTCAGCTATAAAAAGGAGCAGGTACTGCCTTTTGGAGAGGAAAGTTTCCAGCAGTCTAACAGTTGGACTGAACATTCTTGCTGTAACACTCTGGTTTGTATATGTTTGTATTGCTGTTTCTGTTAACATATTTGTTTAACTCACTTCCTCTCTTCTGTGTTTATTTCTAGCCCTAACAAGGCCATAATAGATAGATAGAGAGATAGATAGAGAGATAGATAGATAGATAAATAGATAGATAGATAGATAGATAGATATGAACAGAGACATAGATAGATAGATAGATAGATAGATAGATAGTATTATGGTAATTCACCCACGCACACATGGACCCTCCCAGCTATAACTAGGAGCAGGAACTGCCTTCTGTAGAGTTTCCAGCAGTCAGCTCTGACAGGTGGACTGAACATTCTTGCTGTAACACTCTGGTTTGTATATGTTTGTATTACTGTTTCTGTTAACATATTTGTTTAACTCCCTTCCTCTCTTGTGTGTTTATTTCTGGCCCTAACAAGGCCATAATAGATAGATAGATAGATAGATAGATAGATAGATAGATAGATAGATAGATAGATAGATAGATAGATATGAACAGAGACATAGATAGATAGATAGATAGATAGATAGATAGATAGATAGTATTATGGTAATTTATCCACGCACACATGGACCCTCCCAGCTATAACTAGGAGCAGGAACTGCCTTCTGTAGAGTTTCCAGCAGTCAGCTCTGACAGGTGAACTGAACATTCTTGCTGTAACACTCTGGTTTGTATATGTTTGTATTACTGTTTCTGTTAACATATTTGTTTAACTCCCTTCCTCTCTTGTGTGTTTATTTCTGGCCCTAACAAGGCCATAATAGATAGATAGATAGATAGATAGATAGATAGATAGATAGATAGATAGATAGATAGATATGAACAGAGACATAGATAGATAGATAGATAGATAGATAGATAGATAGATAGATAGATAGATAGTATTATGGTAATTTATCCACGCACACATGGACCCTCCCAGCTATAACTAGGAGCAGGAACTGCCTTCTGTAGAGTTTCCAGCAGTCAGCTCTGACAGTTGGACTGAACATTCTTGCTGTAACACTCTGGTTTGTATATGTTTGTATTACTGTTTCTGTTAACATATTTGTTTAACTCCCTTCCTCTCTTGTGTGTTTATTTCTGGCCCTAACAAGGCCATAATAGATAGATAGATAGATAGATAGATAGATAGATAGATATGAACAGAGACATAGATAGATAGATAGATAGATAGATAGATAGTATTATGGTAATTCACCCACGCACACATGGACCCTCCCAGCTATAACTAGGAGCAGGAACTGCCTTCTGTAGAGTTTCCAGCAGTCAGCTCTGACAGTTGGACTGAACATTCTTGCTGTAACACTCTGGTTTGTATATGTATCATTGTTTCTGTTAATATATTTGTTTAATTCAATTCCTCTCATTTTTTCTTTATTTCTGGCCCTAACAAGGCCACAACAGAGAGGTTCATCTGCAGTGACACCAATATGTACCTAAAGTAGACATTGCACTCAGTCTCGCACCAGAACACTAGAGTAGCCAGGTGCATTAGAGTGTTGACCTGAGAGGTACCAACATAGGCGCTAAGTGCGGATCGAGCCTTGCAAGATGTTAGTGTCTACATCTGACATGCAAACCGACGGAAGTTAAGATGTGCCCACGTTAGACAACTAGATAGCTGGAAGTTATATAAGCGCCTTAGCCGAGAGGGGAAACACATTGAGTTTCTTACATCCTTGCGAGAAAAAGATTCACGTTCGAAGAAAGCCTCCAGAACCACACACCCTTAGGCCAATATTAATTAAAGAAGTCCAAAGATGACTAAACAATAATTTTACGTATGCTAGATTTAGTCTTCATTCTTATTAATGTCTCTACAATGCTAAAGGCACGCATCAAAATTGTAACCCGATTTTCAAATCACAGAATAATTCATTATTTGAATGTAAATCGTGTAATTATAAAGTTCATGCTAAATTCTAATAATGACATTAATGCAAAATTTTATGAAGAGTAACTTAAAAAATAATATTAAATTTCAAGTCCAAAATGTAGGCAATATTTTATGAAAAGCAAATGCAACCTTTTAAATAAAAATTAATACATTTATTTAAGTATAAATCTAATATTTTAATTAACAATTAATACAAAATTTTAATCATGAAATTAATCCAATATTTTAATCAAAAATTAGTGCAAAATTTCGAATTTTTTATGTGCCGTGTCCCTTCAGGACATAGGCGATCATGGCCCTCCACAACTTCCTGTTCCTTGTAGCTGTTAATAAACTTTGTCTTTCTGTTATTTCTGCTAAAGCCTATTCCGCCATCCATTTGCTCATTAAGTATATCATGCGATTTTTTTTTACTTCTCTTGCCATATTTTAAAATTAAGCGTTCTAAATTATCAAATTAAACCGATATTTAAATTAAAAATAATAAAAGTAGTAATTATAAAATTCGGGGATAATTCAAAATTAAATGATCAAAAATTATAGAACTAAGGCATATTATTTTTCAATTTTGCCAGACTTAATGCTGCAAGTCAATATTTTCACAATAAAATCTAGCGTCTGTAAAACTTTATAAAGATATTTAGGCAGGGTTGCTCAGTTTTTTTTAAGGACAGTTGCATGAATTTAGTAAAAGACGCCTATAAGTCATACAAGAGGCACTTTATCTGAGAGAAAATTGTCAGGAATAATCTTGAGATTCTTCTTGACGCACCTACTTCAAGGATCCGCCGTTAGCAATGATGACAACTTCAATTCGAGGATTGAAACATTGACTTGCCTGAATCAAATGATCTTTATCTATTTTGGAGCTTGTGAAAGTTATGGTGGCCTTCAGAGATTTTTATAGTGTCATGGGGACGTTGATTGACTTCCCTCTCGACTACGCCCCATATGTTGTAGTGCAACAGATTCAGTTCTGGACCGTCCTGGATATGGCGATAAACAACATCCGCGTCCTGGGTAAGACGATAAACTACATCCGACAGCAAGTCCTTTGATCAGAAGATTTTGAGGAGCGTGGAACCACTTCTTAATTGCTGGTGTTCCCAGGTCCACTCTGACCCGGTGTGGTAGCATCTGTTTGGCAAATAGTTCCCCCACCAAAAAAAAGGGGGTCAGAACACTATGATAGTATAAAAATAGGTATTAATAAAAGCAATACTTTTTTTTAAAAAAATATTACCAGTAATAAACATCTGCATTAAATAACCCACTGAGGTTGATATAACGTAAAACAAACCAAACCAAACCAATAGATAGATAAAAAATATTACCAGCTATAAAAATCTTGTTGGCATTACATAATAACCCATTGAGGTTGATATGCCGTAAAACAATCCAAACCAAACCAAATCAGACCTGAAAGGCTAGAGGCCATATGTTTGGGGTGTCTTTTAGTCCTGATCAGTATTTTTTTCTCGTCAGGGTAAAACCAAAGTATTCCCTGCTCTTGATGTTTCAACTTGCTCAACAAGCGCTTTGCGCAGATCAAGCGGTTATATTTTGTCTTTGCAGACATGAATTGGCCTCTTCGCATCATATACGACTTTTTCGAAGGTCCTCATTCCCAATTCCCCCAACAGAGTGCCTTGAAACCTTGAGCTTCTTAGCAATAGACTTTCCAGGGTTCTTATCAATAATTTTCCGTACATCTCGTTCAAATTTGCGTCTTCTCGTGGGATTAGGACTATTAGCGAGAGATTCACGTTGTGTCTTTCGTTATATGAGAAAGGTAATGGTAATGAAAATATTAACTGTTTCCTTATGAGGAAAGATTCGGCATTCATTGCCCGAGCAATCAGCCCTTCTGTCGTTTGAAATATATAAAATCTATTTTTAATCTCGATTTTTCAGGCAAAAAGGTTTCTCAAGCCCAGTAGCTGTTGTCTCTCTTTCCAGTATTGATGGGAGTTTCTTTCCTAACCTTTTGTTTGAAGTAATGTGAACATCTACATCTTGATTATATAATAATTTTTCCTTCGATTCAAATGTGCTATCCATTTTAGTTGTTGCTGCTGTTGAAAGTCCTTATCTGCTACAGTTCTTTGTGATTCTGTAACGTCAGACCAAAATATTTGAAGAAGAATGGTCATCACTAAAACCAACAGATTTCATTCACTCGAAGCCAATTGGAATCATTAATCTGAGAAAGCGGTTGTATACAGCTGACAGTTTAGATATTCATGGAACCCATATGAAAATTTCGATCTGACAAGATTATTTAAGAATATGACTCTAGCTATTAGTTAATGTGTCTATATTTCTGAGATGGGGTATTATGTACAGTATTTACATTATTCGGACTATTGTCCTCATCTTTGTCGCCGTATTTATTACAACGTTTCGGCCTTTCAGTATCTGTCTATATTTCTGAGATGACGTATTATGTACACTATTTACATTATTCGGACTATTGTCCTCATCTTTGTCGCCGTATTTATTACAACGTTTCGGCCTTCTTCAGGTGGTTGGAATGTCGAACTGAACCCTTTATTTCGCTCACTGGTTTAGACTGTTCTAGTTCCACGTGCCATATTTGATGGATGTCAGCTCTCAGTTATCTCCTGTTAATTCCCTTCTCCAAGTTCTCCACTGCCTTAACCAGGTATTGAACTCACACTCTTTGGGTCCTGTTACTGGATCTAACCAATGCCATGTGTCCTTGAGTAAGAATGCGTTGTTTTGGTGTTAGGAATATTGTTTTATGCTTGGGTCAGTGTTTGTAGCTAGCTAAGTTTAAAGTTAAGACAGATGAAGACCGTCCTTTTCCCCCATTTCCCATATTGGCCTTGTGCCATATTTTCTGTACATAGCAGAAATGCATATCGCTTTTCGTTATGGTAAGTACACATTGGGGTTTAGATTTTAAATTGCTGTTATATTCCCCGTCCCAACAGACAATGAATTGTACATATGGGGACTAGTAAGGACTTTCATAGAGATTCTGTGGTGGGTGTAGTAAGACTGGTAAGTAAGAATGCCTTGTTTTGGTGTAAGGAATATTGTAGTATGTTTGGGTGAGTGATTATATTTAGTCTCCCTCACACTAGGGCATCATGTGACACAAGGTCGGTTGTTTATTGTGGGCTTACCCGAGCCCGTGGGCTCGGCCCCAAAATATGCCCATTTGAACCCGCCTAAGCGGGTTCAGGGCCGGTTTTACCTCCCCGAAGGAGACTCTGTCCTTCGACGTAGCCTCCTTCGGGTTTCTCTCCGTCCGTAGACAGAGAGGTGAACCGAACTCTCGCTCAACAGTTGAGCGAGTGACTTGGGTGAGTGATTGTGCCTAGCTAAGTTTAATTATAAGATAGAAGACTAACCTCTTTCCCCATTCTCCATTTTGTCGAAACTTTGTGACGAGAACAATATAAGGATATTAATTGAGATATTCATCAA